GCGGACAGCCCAGCTGGGCCGCGCGTTTTGGGCCATGTGCGGAGGGCTGTTCCCAGTCGCCCCAGCGCACGTGTGCCTCCGAACGGGAAGGTGAAGAAGGGGGGCAGGAGCGAAGGAGTGTCAGCGTCTGCGTTACTCCCTGCATTGGCGATCATTCGTTTTTAATTGTTCGATTTTAATCTGATTCATGGGCATGGGTTTCGTGCGTGAACGTGGTGCCAGCCTTATCTTGCGCATCTTTGCGCATCACCCCTGCACTTGGCAGAGCTGAAACTTGCATCACCGATGCTGAAACATGAGCTCAGGGATCATCTGTGCGCTTCGGTCCATAGATCATCGATGCCGATATTTCTGAAACAGCTCAGCATCACGCCTCATTGCGGCGGGGGTGTTCGTTAAGGAACGTGCCCAGGAGGCTTCAGTTCTTAGGGGGTTCCTGATCTGATGAGGGCGGCTGTGGTATCCACGGCCACTCCACTGGAACGATCCTTGCCGACCGGCTGTGGGCAAGCGTTCCGGGTGGCTGGCGCACACCAGGGGTGGTCTGTACAAAGCGAAATTTCGGACGGGGATTGGACGATATTAAATCCGTTCCAGAGTGTTCCGGGACGCTCTCAGATCGTTCCATAACGCTCAGAGAAAGCCGCGGCGCCCGAGACATTTTCTGGGGCCCCCGGATTCCAGATACGATCGATGTATTCTTACCCGAATTTAATTTCGTCGCGGCTTCGCTTTATTGTAAAGAAAAACCTTCAAACGAGTAGCGCGCCAGGCACCCTTGTGATCAATCAACAAGGGGCGGCGGACCAACAGATCGAAGACGCCGACGGCGAATCACCGCCGCCGCCTGCCTAGTATAATCGCCCATGTGGCCGTGCGTTTTGGCAAGAGCTCCGCTAACTGTTAAGGAAACCCCTCGGGGAACACTGTGGGGAGGGTGGCGGGGAAATTCAAGAGGAGGCCGAGGAGGCGGAGGAGGAGGAGGAGGAGGAGGAGGAGGAGGAGGAGGAGGTGGAAGAGGAGGAAGGGGCATCGTGGGAACCTCTGGGGACAGTCTTGGGGGCCTCCTTGGACCTCTCGGGGGCCTCTCTGGCCGTCTTGGTGGGTTCCTTCCTGGCCCGTCTGACGCCGTCGGACGCTGTCTTGGGGGCCTCTCTGGGCAGACTTGGGGCCCTCTTGGGGTGTTCCAGGGCCGTCTTGGGGGCCATCTTGGGCGTCTTGGAGGCCTCTTGGGCCGTCTTGGGGCCGTCTTTGGGACCTCATGGGCTGGGGCCATCCCGCAGGCATCTTGGGCGATGTTTGGGGCGATCTTTGGGGGCTCTTGGGCCGTCTTGGGGCCCTCTTGGGCCGTTTCGGGGGCCTCTTGTGCAGTTCTGAGGCCATCTTGGAGGCCTCTTGGGCGCTCTGGGGCGATCTTTGTGGGCCTCCCCTGTCTTGGGCCATCTTAGGGTCATCTTCGGCCACCTTGGTGGGCCCCTGGCCTGTTTGACGCCGTCGGACGCCGTCTTGGGGGCCTCTTTGGGCCGACTTGGGGCCCTCTTGAGGTGCTCCAGGGCCGTCTTGGAGGCTTCCTGGGGCGTCTTAGAGGCCTCTTGGGCCGTCTTGGGGCCCTCTTGCGGCCGTCTTGGGCAGTCCTGGGGCCGTCCCGCAGGCCTCTTGGGCGATCTTGGGGCGATCTTTGGGGGCTTTTGGGCCGTCTTGGGCAGTCGGAAGTCCAAAAGGAAGCACATGCGAACATACTTCACACACGTTAGAACAATTTCGGGCCTTCCTGGAGGCTCTCTTGGAGGCCTCTTCAGCCGTATTGGGCCATCTTAGAATCATCTTTGGGCCGTTTTGGTGGGCCCTTGGCCCATCTGACGCCGTCGGAAGCCGTCTTGGGGGCCTCTGGGCCGACTTGGGGCCCTCTTGGGTTGCTCCAGGGCCGTCTTGGAGGCTTCCTGGGGCGTCTTCGAGGCCTCTGGGGCCGTGGGGCACTCTTGGGGCCGTCTTGGGGGCCTCTTGGGCAGTCCTGAGGCCATCTTGGAGGCCTCTTGGGCGCTCTGGTGGCGATCTTTATTGGCCTCTTGGGCCGCCTTGGGCCGTCGGAAGACCGAACAAACATTAAATACGAACATCGTTCAACACATACGGAAATCAATAATTTGAGCCTCTTCGGGCCCTCCTGGAGGACCTCTCGGAGGCCTCTTGGGCACCTCTTGGGCAGTCCTGGGCCGTCTTGGAGGCTTTTTGGGCGGACTTGGAAGTATCGTGGCCCTCTTGGTCCGTCTTGGAGGCTATCTTGGCAATCTTGGAGGCATCTTGGAGGCCAGCTTGGGCTGGCTTGGAGCCGTCTGGAGCAGGAAAATCCTGTGCCACCGGGTCTTGCGATCCTTTCTGGTTGGCCGGCGGGACGGGCCGAAGCCCCAGGAGAGAGTTATTTTGGAAAAAGAGCCAAAACCAAAACCGCAAGGGTCTAGCACGCGGGGCGCCCCTGTGGCAAGCCAACGGGGGGCGGCGGCTCTAGTGGCCTTCGGCCCATCCCGCCACCGTTTCTGGGTTTAGGTCGGAGGCCTACTGGATGCCTGTGGGGACCTCTTAGGTGGTCCCTCGCAGGCCTCTTGGAAGCGGGTATGGGGGTGTCTTGGGGCGTCTCAGACTCTCGGGGCCTGATTGCGAATGCCTGACGGCCAGTGCCGCCGACCCTGAAAGACATGGACATCGACCAGGCGGGGGAGGAGGAGGAGATGAAGGAGGAGGAGGAGGAGGAGATGAAGATGCGGAGATAAGGAGGAGGAGGAGGAGGAGGAGGAGGAGGAGGAAGAGGAAGATGCGGAGATAAGGAGGAGGAGGAGGAGGAGGAGGAGGAGGACTCCCCCTCTGGCCCCCCCCCCTGGGGAGGAGGACCAGAGGACGACTGGCGTGGGAGAAGGGAGGGGAGGGGGGGGAGGACCCCCAGGGACGGATGCGTAGCTGACTCCGCTCCCCCCTTTGGGAGGAGGACCCGAGGAGGACCGGCGTGCCGGACAAGGACCAGCGTGGGAAAGGAGGACCCTGCAGAGGCGATGCGAATCTGGCCCCCCGTGGGATCTCCCCCCCCGCCGGGGAAGGGATAAAGGGAAGGGGCTTCCCTTTGACGTAATCAGGACGTGGATGGACGTCCCTCAAGCTGCGAACCGGTTCCCCGAAGGAGGAGGGGTGCTCTCTCTCTCTCTCTCTCTCCCCCGACGGGAGAGGAGGATTGGAAGGAGGGGACGAAAAAAGGCTACCCGTCGACGGGACCGGACAGACACCCCGCGACACCCCGCACAGGCCGACAGGGTCGGCGGATTTGAGCCTCTCGGGGCCCCTTGCGGCCCTCTCTGGGCCTTCGGGGCGCACCTGGGGAGCCTCTGGGGGGATTTGGGGGCCATCTTGGAGCGGAGGGCTCAAACTATCACTTCGTACCCTCCTCTTGGCCCCTTAGTGGTTCTTGGGCCGCTTTTGGTCAATGTTTGACGCTTCTTGGGGAGTGTTAGCTTTGAGGACCGAAAAGGCGGCAATGCGTAAACCATGCGAAATTATTGTTCTTTGGGATTGCGAAGGCCTTGCAGCTGGTGCCGCCGTCCCTGAAGGGGGACGACGACGGCGGCGACAACGACGCTGACGCTCAGGGATGCTTCTGGCGGTGTCTTCGGAGTGCTCTCGGGAGCTTATGTGAAGCTGTTTTGGGGCGTCTTGGAAATCTCTTGGGGGCCTCTTGGAAGCCCCTTGGGGGCCCCTTGGGGCTTCCTGGGGGCATCTTGGGGGCCTCTTGCGGCCTCTTGGGGGCTTCTCGGGGCATCGAGTCGGAGCCGAGGGCTCGGAATGTCCGTTCGGGCCCAGCGTCTGTGCACCCTCTTGGAGCAATCTTAGGAGCTTCTTGGGCGGTCTTGGAGGCGTCTTCGGCTGTTTGGGGGCCCTCTTGGGTTGTTCGGGGGCCTCTTGGAGGCCTCTTGGGACGATCTTGGGAGCCTTTTGGGCTCTCTTGGAGCGTCGTGGAGCGGAAAAGGCGAGAACGCCAAAATCTTTCAATTATTCAGAGGGGATCGCCCCTCTGGGGACTGCTCTTGGAGGCCTCTTGGGCCGTCTTGGAGACCCTTGGGCAGTCTGGAGGCCATCTTGGGCGCCTTGGACCGATCGTTCGGCGATGCGGGGCTCTCTTGGACCGTCCTGGGGGCTTCTTGCGGCACTCTTGGACCGTGTCTTGGGGTTTTGTTGGGGCCCAGAACCCACGGGGGGGATGGCATTCTGACCCGGGACCCCCCCTGGGACCCCCTCCTTATTCGACACCCCCCGGCGGGGAAGGGATCAAATGGAAGGGGTTTGTTCGACTCAGCCACGACGCTAATTACCCAATTTCGCTTTGGTTGGCGCCCTTGAGGGGGAGGGGCCCGGGAAGGGGGGGGGATCGGCGACGACGGCGACGACGACGACGACGACGGCGGCGACGACGACGACGACGACGACGACGACGAGCGTCTTCCACTCGCAGACAGGGTCCGCGGATTTTGGCCTCTTTGGGCCGCCCTCCAGGGCCTCCAACACGGTCCAAGAGACACCATCTTGGGCAATGTTGGGCGGCGTGTGCCGAACAGCGCGGTCTCGCATCGCTCGGGCGTGTGCATGTCTTCTCGGCGAGGACCATCGGGGAGTAGATTGGATCATCGTGCGAGCCATACACGCACGAAGCCGAGAACTGCACGGGCAGTGGACGTCCGAGCGATGGCGAGGTTTTGGCCTCTCGAAGAGTTACGCAGGGATCCCCGCCGAGAGCGTACGGATGCCTTCTTTTGCTTCTTCCTCGTCCTCATCCTCTTCTTCTTCTTGTTTTCCTTCGTCTTCTTCTTCTTCTTCTTCTTCTTCTTCTTCTTTCTGTTCTCCCTCCTTCCTCCTCCTCTCTTCTCCCTCCTCTCCTCGCTCAGTTTTTTTTGTCCTTTCCCCTGCTTCTCCCGCGCCCCTTGTCTCCCCCCGCGCCCTTCCTCTCCCCCCTTCTCCTGCGCAGCCGCGTCGGCTGGCCAGGGCCGCTCTGCAGGCCTCGGCGCTCTCCTGCCGCCCCCCCCCCCTCGGCGCCCCCGGATCGCCCCCGCCCGCGGGCGCTCCGCCCGGGCATGCGCGTGTCCGTGGTCACCTGCGCCGGGCGAGAGCGGCCTCGCGCCAAGGGGCGGCCCCTCGCCGGAGTGGCCCTCATGCACGTGCGCGGTCTCTGGGGGGGGCCAGGCACGCGGGCCGCCGCGGTCGCCTCGCACGCAGCGATCGGCAGGCCGCACACCGGAGGCCACTCTGGCCCGGGGTCACCTCTTGCGCGTGGCCGTGAGAGTTGGCGGCCCTGGACGCCAGCCCGTCGTGGCGGCTGCGGGACGTGCTCGCGGGGGCGCCCGCGCAGGGTGGCGCGCCAGGCAGCCGGAGGCGGGTGTTCTTCGGGGAGACGGAGCTTCGCGGCGGCGCGACCTTGGCTGAGATCGGTGCCTTTGGCGGCAGCGAGCTCACGTTGGTGGTGACTCCCGCGCTCCATGTGCTGACCGCCTCTGGAGACCGCACGGCGAAGATCTGGCACGCGGAGTCCGGCCAGTGCCTGCGAACGCTGGAGGGCCATGGCAATGACGTGGTGTCCGCGTGTTCTCGCCGGACGGGCTGGAGGTGCTGACCGCCTCTGAAGACGGCACGGCGAAGATCTGGCACGCGGAGTCTGGCCAGTGCCTGCGCACGCTGGAGGGCCATGGCAATATCGTGACGTCCGCCGTGTTCTCGCCGGACGGGCTGGAGGTGCTGACCGCCTCTGAAGACCGCACGGCGAAGATCTGGCACGCGGAGTCCGGCCAGTGCCTGCGAACGCTGGAGGGCCATGGCAATTTCGTGGTGTCCGCCGTGTTCTCGCCAGACGGGCTGGAGGTGCTGACCGTCTCCGGAGACGTCACGGCGAAGATCTGGCACGCGGAGTCCGGCCAGTGCCTGCGCACGCTGGAAGGCTATGGCAATTTCGTGGTGTCCGCCGTGTTCTCGCCGGACTGGCTGGAGGTGCTGACCGCCTCTGAAGACGGCACGGCGAAGATCTGGCACGCGGAGTCCGGCCAGTGCCTGCGCACGCTGGAGGGCCATGGCAATTTCGTGGTGTCCGCCGTGTTCTCGCCGGACGGGCTGGAGGTGCTGACCGCCTCTAACGACGGCACGGCGAAGATTTGGCACGCGGAGTCCGGCCAGTGCCTGCGCACGCTGGAAGGCCATGGCAATCGCGTGGTGTCCGCCGTGTTCTCGCCGGACGGGCTGGAGGTGCTGACCGCCTCTTACGACGGCACGGCGAAGATCTGGCACGCGGACTCCGGCCAGTGCCTTCGCACGCTGGAGGGCCACGACTGTCGAGTGTTCTCCGCCGTGTTCTCGCCGTAGTAAGTGCCAGACTTTGCTCTCGGTTCCGAGGGGGAGGGGGTGGTGATGCATGCCATGAATTCAGTAAGGCGGACGGGGGGTTGGGCGGGACGGGCCAGCGCAGTCGTTTTTTTCAGCCCGAGTCAGATTGTGTATTGCTCCCCGCAGTCGTCGCGACGGGCTGATTTGCGAGACGGGGCTCTGGTGTATCAGAGTGGGCTTCCGGAGGGGTGAGGTGACGGGAACGGGTGGGGTATGGGGGAGGAGGAGCTGAGCAATGTGGACATGGGGGGTAATTACCGGGGCAGGGTCAAGGGAGGTGGAGGCGGTGAGCAGCATCAGCAGAAGCAACACGAGAGCCCGAGCCTGGCCCAGCATGAGTTCGGAAGAGAGCACCGCCATGAAGAGCATGATAGGGGGGGGAGTGAGGGAACGGGCATCGTAGCAGGGCGGTGGAGCGATGGAGGTGGAGGGAGGTGTAGAAGGGCGGAGGAGAGCAGGCACAGGCGCAGCAGCAGGGTCGGCACGAGCAGGAGCGCGGGGAGCATGCAGAACAGGCTGATCATCGGGACGATGGCGCCCTCGCATGCCTTTTGACGCGCGCGCATTGAGAAGCGGCGCCCCACCCGCCGTGCCACGCCTCCCCCCCGCCCCCGTCGGCCCGAGCGCGGCTTTTCGGGCGCCCCTTTTCGTCGTCCGCCCACCTCTGCGCGTGGAGCCGCCGCCCGGGGGCCAGGCGGCGCGGGAGAGGAGGGGGGGTGGGCGGTTCGGGTGTGCGGGTGGAGCACCTAGCTCGGGATGAGGAGGAGGAGGCATGGAGGCATGGAGGCACGGAGGCACGGAGGCACGGAGGCATGCATGGAGGCCGCATCAGGATGACTCCCAGGCCGTAGTCAGACAAAACATCAGGAGGGGGCAGATGAGGAGGAGGAGGAGGAGGAGGAGGAGGAGGAGGAGGAGGAGGAGGCAGATGCGGAGGCGGAGGCAGAGGAGGAGTGGAGATCGAGGCTCGAGGTGTCTGGGTGTTTCGGGGCTTCAGGTGGAGGCGGGGGGTAGGATGGGATCGAGCGGAGGAGTTCGAGGTTCGAGGCGTAACGAAGTAGGAACCCCGCTTCCCTCCCTCCCGCCTCCCTCCCGCCTCCCTCCGGCTTAGGGCTCTTACGCCCTGGAAGCACGGGGCGGCCTGGAAGTCCGAGTCTCGCGGCTGTCAAGTCGGTCCCAGGGCAGCTCAGCGTGTGCACGAAGTGGATGTATTCCCCCATGGCCCATGAGTGTCCGATCCTCGTCCTCCTCCGCCTCATCCTCCTGGTCCTCCTCTCCTCCCTCCTCCTCTTCCTCCTCCTCCTCCTCCTCTTTCTCCTCCTCCTCCTCCTCCTCCTCATCCTCCTCCTCCTCTTTCTCCTCCTCCTCCTCCTCCTCCTCCTCCTCCTCCTCCTCCTCCTCCTCCTCCCCCTCAGGGGACAAGATTACGACACCCACCCCGCAATACAGATGCCAATATATTTTCATTATTCGTGACACGAAATTTGCCTCGGGGCTCAAATATGCCGACTTCGGGGGGTCGCAGGGGACGTCTTGGACGAGTTGCCGACGCTTCGCAGAGGCCGCCTTCGCGGGGGCCCAGCGAGCCCGCCGACTGCACGCGGCCATACAGGTCGCCGCCAGCATCGATGATGCTGGTACTCGTCTGCACGGGTGGGACCGGCCCTCGCGAATCTGCGGTATTTCTGGACAGCGGGTGTATACCCCCCCCCCGAAGAAAAAGCACAATGTACACCCGCCCAAGCGAAGTATACATTCACCCAGAAATTTATACACCCGAGCAAAAATATAACACATGTTTCAAGAAAGCGACGTATACACCCAGCAAACCCGGTGCACCGAATATTGGCGTATTTCTAGAGACGAAAATTTTCTGGCGCGGAGTCGCCATATCAGTGCCCCCGGCGAGAGCCGCGTCGCTGGCTCATATCAGCAAGCCGCGGATTGCGTGCGCGTGCTCCAGGACGGAAGCTTCAGGTTTGTGCAGCCCCGCGCGCGTGGCTTGTTCGGCCATGTGCATCCTGCCAGTCTTGCCGACGATGGGAATTTGACGTCGGGATATCATTCGGGGCCATCCGCGGGCTCTGCCAAATATATGCGTATATGGGCGCTGTAAGGCAGGGTGGGTGTCGATATTTAGCTCCCCCTCCTCTTCCTCCTCTTCCTCCTCTTCCTCCTCCTCCTCCTCCTGCTCCGTCTCCGTCTCATCGTGTGCCACCACCTCCGCGCTCCTCCCTCCCACTACTTTCTCCCTGGCCTGCTGCCGCATTGGAGGCGGGCCGGGCGAATTTCCCGAATCCCCGTCACTTCCCCCTTCCGGTCGAAGCCCAAACCAGAGCCCAGCTCCGCCCCAACTCGGAGCCGGCTTGGGGTCTTGACATGGCCCAGCAGCGGTTCCAGCCAGCGGCAAAGGGGGGAGAGAGGTTCGAGGCCCTCGCTTCGAAAAAGGCTCTTTGCCTGCTTCGGTCTCCAGGGTTTTTTGTTGGCCTTGCCCCTGGGCCGTCGAGCACGGATCGGGGTTGAAAGCCGCAGGGGTCGAGGGGCCGATTCTGCATGCGTTTGCATCCCCGTTTCCTGACCGATGTTCGAAATCCCCATCCAGCTCAGACCCCGTGCGCGCCTCCAAGACACAATCCTCTGAACAAGAAGACTGCATAAGCAACGACTTTCGCGCGGATTTCTTTGATCGGCGCTGGGCCTCCCTGACGACGCCTCGGGCGCCGCCCCTGGCACGCTCCACGCGGGGGCCCAGCACCGTCCCAGGAAGTCCGGGCAGAGTTCGGAAAGTTTATGTTCATGCGGTGTTCTCTCCATGGAAGAGTGGGGGACCGATGGGGGGGGGGGAGAGGACCAGAGGGGGGGGACGAGGGGCAGGGTGAGGAGGAGTAGGGGGAGGAGGTGGTGGAGGAGGAGGTGGAGGAGGAGGAGGAGGAGGAGGAGGATGGAAATTCTATGTTGATGCAGTTTTCTATCCATGGAGGAGGGGGGAATGATTGGGTTGGGGGGGAGGATGCCAGGGGCAGGAGGAGAAGGAGGAGGACGACGACGGCCACGGCGTCCGTCCACGGGAGGGGCGCTGCTGCCCGGCGATGGCGAGCCGTGAGGCGAAGCAGGACTGCGCGCCCGCTTCTCGCGCGCGCGCGCCTGCATGCGCACCGGGAGCGGCTCCCCGAACGATCATCGAATTTCGGATGCACCTCCTGGGAGGTCAAATTCGGATTTCGTCCTGGTCCGAAATCCGGCTCGATGCTGCTTAATGTTCGCTGAATCAATCCGGCCTCGTCCTGGCTACTCCTGCTTACTCCCAACCCGCGGCCGAATCCGACGTAGCAGCCCCACAATGTGGCTTCATTTTCCTGAGTACTTCCCACGAAGATCTCCCAGTGGTTGTTCCTCATAAAACGTTAAGTCGGGCATGTCCCTCTACAGGAGGAAGTGTTTACAAATCGGCAAAACATAGTATGGGGGAGACTGTTTGACTACTTGTTTGTCTATGTTGAGGTAGTTTTGAATGGGTTTTGACTATGTGCTTCATCTTTCTTCCAACGTCCGCCTGTAGGAGGACATGCCCGACCTAAATAGCACGGCGATTATCACTCTTACAATCTACGCCCAGAGTGCCGGTGTTACTGTTGGGGCGCTGAAGAAGGAACCCTTTGCATTGGGGAGGGGCTCGGTGTTCCTTGATTGTTTCAAAGTTTGCCTTAGGCCTTCCTTAGGTTTTCGAAGGTACACCGCACTCACATCTATACCCCTGGGTGGGTGTATGTGCGGCCGTTTTTGCGCTGTCATGTGCGCGCATGTGCGCGGCATGTGCCAGTCATGTGCCAGGCCTGTGCGGCCCTTCTTGGATGGACTTCCTACTGTGCACGTCGTGCCCGGGCATGTGCGGGGGCATGTGCGCTGTGTTTTGATGTATCCATCATACGCACATGCACTTACAATCCGACGCACATGCGCGCACATGCCTGCACATGCGGGAGGTGTTCGAGAATCGCAGATCTGTCATCGGCACATGCACGCACATGCCTGTGCAACCTCTCTTCGGGAGGCCGCGCGGGCCCGCACATGCACGCGCATGCGGTGAAGCGCGCGGGCGCACATGCGTGCACATCCCAATGCACATGCGCGCTCATGCCCTAGGATCTGTCTGGGACCCTTGTGCCTCCAATGCCTCCTGGCCTTCGCAGAGCTAACCTGGGGCGTGCCAGCGCTTCCTGAAAGAGTTTGTTGTGCGTTTAGACTCGCCCGCTGCTGGCGGGGGCGGTTCTTCGCCCGGTTTGTGAGCTGGCGGCGGCGTGCCCTCCTAGTAAAACGCTCTCCCGCGCGCCTTCTCAGCTCGGCCGGAGAAGGAGGGGGGGGGGGGAGGTGGAGGGGGGGGGAGGAGGGGGGGGGACGGAGGAGGCGGACGCCCCCGGCTCGGCCGGCCCGCCCGCCTGTTCGGCTCGGCCAGACGAGAAGGAGGAGGAGGAGGAGGAGGAGGAGGAGGAGGAGGAGGAGGAGGAGGAGGTGAGAGTCGCGAGGATGTCTCAGGCGAAAATGGCTTGACGGCCCGAGCTCAGGGAATCTCGGAATCGCTGGCCTGGCTCGGCCACTGGCGAGGTCGGCATGTGCGAATACTGTGCGTACCTGTGCGGGGCATGTGCGGGACGTGCAAGAGTGCCGGGGCCGGCGTTCGTCTCCGGGCGCCGGCGCGTTCGCGTCCGCGCGCAAGCCGCGCGCGGACGAGCGTTCGCTTGATTGCGCGGCCCCGACAGACGGGGCGCCCCGCTCACGCTCCGCACAGGCGCGCGCAGCGCTCGCCCTGCCCGCGCTCGCCGGCAGGAGCGGCACGCCGGAACAATGCTGGAACGACCAGGTGCACAAGGCATTACTGCACCACTTTCACAAGGCTTTGCGCGAGGTCGTGGGGCAGCACCCGAACTTACGAATGGGCCAGCCACTGTCGCCTGAGACGTCCTCGCAACCCTGATCTCAATGATGCCCTGCTCGATAGTGTCTCGGCCCCTTTCGCCTGAGACA